GACGATCCTTGCGTTCTTCCTGATGGCACTGATGCTTATGAACTTGCTAAGAAGGCCGGTCGTTACAAGCAGATCAAGCGCACAGAAGGGGTTTCTAGCACAGACATTGTTGGTAAGCATCGCCATGCTTTTATCTGATCTTCCTTGATGAATATTTATTTTCTCAAGTTTATGTCAGGTTCTCAGCAATTGTAGCGACAGCCTTCTATAAGAGATTCTAATTAATTCTGAAATTTGTTTTCTTTCTGTTAATGGTCTTGCATGATAGATTAGTGCTTGTTAAAAACTTAAAATTAGCAAATTAGCTCATTTTGGTTGTTGGAACCCCTTATTTAAATATCTTCATGTTGTTGTCTTGATCTGTTGGTTTGGGCTTTAAGCTTAGATGCCTTCTTTTTAAAGTTTCTATATCTATCCTGTCATTTTTATGTGCTCTTTTCTTTTATATTTAGCATTACTTTCTGTTTGGTGCACTACAAATGCAAATCTTTGTTTAGATTATCTATTTCAAAGAAGTGTCTAAAGTGATAACAAGTTGCCTCATATCTTATTCCTGAGGGACTTGATATCTTTGTCTTATAGGCTCTTATGTAGTAACTTTTAACAGGTCGGATGCTTCTGTGTGTAAGAGAGAGATTGGTTAACGACACGCACAACCATTCTTCATTGCAAAGACAATTTAGCCAGGGGTGCAGAGAGAAATTTGAAGATGGTGAATCTGAAACAACTTGCATTTCTCATTTTCTACCGACGTCTCGCAGGATTGTTCAGTTTTCCAATGGGAAGGTACAAAAAGGAATCTACTTTCTGGTTATTTCCTGTTGTTTTGCTAGCAATTTCTATTTCAAGCTTGCATTTCAGTTGATTGCATTCTTTATATTGCAATGTAATTTGGAAAGGTGGTTGTAGGCTTCAGATGCCTTTACATATACTAAGAATATAAGCCATTATACCCTTAAAGGTTTCATGGCTTCTTATTGTGATTGTATGCTGAACTTGTAAGAATTATGGTTCTCATTTTAGGTGGCGTACCCTCAAATTTAATGTATTTTACCTCATATATTGCTTTTTTGGGCAACAACTTTGGAGACTTGGGCAGAAACATTTTTTTGGCTTCTTTGAGGGCAGACCGGACTAATTTTTTTATGCTTCATATCTTCTTTCATTATTTATTTTTTATTTTTTGTTATGGATATTATTTATATATGTTGAATTCTTGTGAAGGCATTTGGTGTGAAATGATCATACCAATATGACCACTGCAGTTGTGGGGATCATGAATATGCATGTTTGGTTGTACTCTTCTATTGATCCACCTTCAGTGATGAGATCACTAATTTACAGGTTTGCATTTGGTTTTTGGTTTCAACCAAACTATTGAAAAGCCAAATAATCCCATGGGAAAGAAGATTTGCATTCTTAATTCATTTCTTACTCTATGTTTCAGAGGAGAGTAAAGTTAGGATGGGCACTAATCTTCTAAAATTTAGTAGGTTTTTCTGTTTTTGGACATTGGGTTGATGGCTCTGTTGCATTGAATGCTTAGAGAGATCAGTCGATGTTTTAAGATGTGAAAAGATAATGTTATTATGTAACTCTAAATCCACATTACTCTTTCATCAACAAAAAAATAATAGTAATAATCTGCATTACTTTCAGCTGTAATACAAGAACGTATGTTCTCTTCTCTTGTAGCTATTATCAGTGCCATTTCTTGTTATCTATCCCCAATTGATTTTTGACCTTATCTAATTCCTCTTGCCTCTATAATTCTCCTTATCTACCCCATGATTCTTTGCCCCTTTCTGGGAAACCATTTCTTTTGCTTCCGATCATGATGTCAAATATACACTTATGGTTGCAGGGGCCTGGACCAGATTCTCGCATAGTTTATATAGATGGTGCATTTGATCTTTTTCATGCGGGCCATGTTGAGGTATTATATGTGATCTTTTTTATTTTGCAGATATTTTGGTGTCAAATTCTCTATAAAGTGTTAAAAAGAAGTTGTGGCTTAATTGGATCAATACCTACATTTGGGAGAGGAAAGCTGATAACACAGATATAAGAACACACCTCTTTTTCATCCCCCTTCCCTGCCCCTATCATCAGCAAAAACAACAAAAAGAAAAGTAAAAAGGATATGATAACTAACTGTATGTGTTTTTTAGATTCTGAGGGTTGCTCGGGAACTCGGAGACTTTCTTCTTGTTGGGTTGCACAATGATCAGACTATCAGGTAGCGGCTGATCTTTTTTTTTTCTACCATGTCCTATGCCCTTTCTTAATTTTTGCATGTGAGTGTGTGGGTTGGGGGTGAGTTTGAAACTGAGTGGTTTGTATCGTTGCCACAAGAGCCTGTCATAGTAAGCATTATTTTGTGTAATATTTAGAAGAGAATTATGATCTTGCTCTTATAAATGTTAAGAAATATGTAAGTTATTTGAAGTTTTACTTAGGACTTTCAGCTTTTAGGTTGAGTGGTTTAAGCATTGGGTGTTGGACTTGCTGATCCAAGTTTAAATTTTGTTGTACACAGAAGAATAATTTTGCACATGGTATGCAGTGACTGTTAAGAAATACATTGGTGAGGTTCTCACTCATCAGCTTGCATTTTTGTGACTAGAATTCCATATTGATATTTGTATTGAAGGTTGCATTTTTCAGCCTAATGATTCAATTGATGATAAGAACTTTATTTTTGAATGCCTTCTTAGAAGTAACTGCAGTCTTTAGTTTTCCATCCGTTCAGATAAAGCTTGAATCATTCTGTTTAGTTGTGCAACGGTTTGATATCTGTTCCTGCTATGATGTTTTATTTCTTTGCTTACACACGTATGTTTTATTAAAACTTTCGTATTTCAAATGTATTTATGGCTTTGCAGTGCTAAAAGAGTACATCGGCCTATCATGAATCTTCATGAAAGAAGCTTAAGTGTTTTGGCTTGTCGCTATGTAGACGAGGTGATAATTGGTGCTCCACGTGAAGTGTCAAGAGACATGGTTTGTATTTTTACTGCTAGAATTAATTTACTCACATGGTGCCTTTTTATTTAATTTGTTTTTCATGAGCTTAACTAATTTTAATTTATCAGGCAGAAAGCATTGACTTGCTAAACTTGAAAATAATTTGCTACTTCGGTTTATTAAATTTGTTTCTTAGTGTCTTTTCCCTCCTAAAAACTCACTGGAAAAATCTTGTAACTGCAGATCACAACCTTTAATATCTCATTAGTTGTCCATGGAACAATTTCTGAAAGTGATGATTTTCAGAAGGTAAACGAGAAATTAAATTGTCATTTCTGGGTTAATTAATTGCTGAGTGAAATCACCGTAGCTGAGCAATCACCGTAGCTAGTGCATTTTCAGTTCATAATGTCTTTTCTTTCTTGATGCAGGAAGAAGGCAATCCATATGCTATCCCAATAAGTATGGGTATCTTCAAAGTTTTAGAAAGCCCTCTGGACATCACAACTACCACAATAATCAGGAGGATTGTTGCAAATCATGAAGCATATGAGGTACACTTACTTGCAAACCATAGTACTTTGATTGAACTTGGGTCCTCCCATCATTCCATGTCATGAAAATTTAACGAGCAAATTGAATGATGATCATTTGGCCATGATCTAATTGGATTTAATCTGTTTCTAACATGCCACAGACCACATGTTCTTGTTGAAGAAATCTGTGGCAGCATATTTGTCATATGGTCTCTAATTGCTGTCTTACATGTTTATATGCTTACATTTCTATTTGAGTATTTTAAAGCTAAAGAGAATGGTTATTTATTTTTTATTTTTTTATTTTTATTTTTAAATTTTCACTTTTTTAATGCAGAAACGTAATGAGAAGAAGTCTGCAAGTGAAAAAAAGTATTATGAAGCTAAGACATATGTTTCGGGTGATTGATGGATCTCTTGCACGGACTTGGTTTTTGGGGTGGTTCTTTTATTTGTTGCTACGGAGTAGAATGGACAAATTATAGAGTACTAACAACACAAATGAACCAATAGGGTTGGTAATCGCAATCTGCATGTGTTTGTAATCCATTTTTCACGTTTACATGCAATTGCTGAGTTAGTCTTGTTATTATATCTGTTTTTTCTTTCTTAAGATTAGTTTTTTGGATTTGGATCCCGGTATTTGATAGAAAACTAGAAAAGAGGTTGAGCTGACAATGTTTAGACTGTCCTCTTTTGGCATTTTCTGTAACAGCATCATCTATCTTCAATACCAATAGATTTTCATATCTTCAATACCAATAGATTTTCATATCTTCATACTTCACATTCAGTTCTATTTTATCAGCAAGTGAAGAAATTTTCTATGTTGACCCTTTTCCTTTGTGTCTTCTTGCTGGTGAATGCTTTGAAGGCTGTGCGACCTTTAGTGCCCACAATCTCCAATAGTCAATTTGCCAGGTAAGTGTTTGAGGCATGTAAAAGTTCCCTCAACTTCATAGTTCAATAGTTGTTAAATTAAAGGGAAATGATGTTGGAATCTGCTTCTGCTGTTGGAATCTAAATCTGGGATTTTTTGTTCTTCTTTCTGTAAGACTGGTTGACAATGGATTCTATATGTCACTGACGATTTCCGCAAAAGGAATTGATAGATGTATTGAAGAGAAGGGAATTTCGTGTTTGAGGGAAATGGTTTTGATTTTCAATTTAAGCTTATGGATCAAGTTCGCTTTTTGATCAGCGTATGGATCAAGTTCTGGGTTTCATGACCTTCTCTTTCTTCTTTTCTTCTTCCTTTTTTTCTCTTTTTTCTTTTAATATCTGATTGGACCATTTATTAGAAATTTAACAATACGCTTCTCTTCTGAAATTTGAAGGTCAGCAAGTCATATTTTGAGTAACTGAGCAAGTTATGGCAGCAATAAAAATCTCTAGGGCTGGGGCAAATGCCTAATCTTGTCATAGATTATATGTTTATGTCGTTATGGCATGTACAATAATTTTTCATGCTACCACTTTGTTACATATAACAAAATCGATCCTGGAATGGTTTTTGAAGCATAATTTCCTTGGTGAACGGAGAAGCTGAGGGTTGAATGGCTTCAGAGCATTACCGTGTGAACTCATTCTATTATTTAAGAACAGGAGAAAAATGAGACCATCTAACTTTCTTCCTTTAATTCTGTACAAAAAGTACAAGTGTTGGTGTTTTCCTTTTTCTTTTTCCTCTTCAGACGGACAAAAGATATCAATCTTAGGAACACAAAATTGGGGTAAATGGGTTGGCACAGATGCGATCCAAAACAACAACAAAAGCCATAATAAGCTCCATATCGAATCCAGGTTGTACCACCAGGCTGAATACGTCGTCGCTCAGCAAAACAGTGGAGTTTACTCTTTTCCTAGTAATTTTGGCCGCCACTTCTCCGGTAGCCGTCCTGATAAGGCAGTTCCGGGACCTGAAGGAACCCTGGATCCTGAAGTCCGGTACCTGACCCTTTTTACTCAGCCCTGGAAGAAATACCTCTGCCTGGTCTTTCCGTTGTCTCTGGAAGAGTAGCGATGGGGTTCTCATTGAGAACACTTTGGACTTCTTACATTTTCTTCTCCTCATCTCTTGATCTCCTCTGTATGCATTCCACTGATATTGCATACTCATTATCTGCTCGTAAAAATCAAATTCTTCTCATTAGTAACATATCAAAAAAAACAGACTGAAATCTTGAAAGGTTACAAATATTCGAATTGACTTATATATGAAGTATCAAGTACCTGAGGTTTCAAAGTTAACAAAGCATTTCCAGCGCCATTCATGAGGACGAGCCCTCCGGCCAGACCGCAAGGGTATTTCCGGGAGTAGTTATCAACTCTGAATACCAATCTTCCATGATGATCAAAAACGGTGAAACCATCTGTACCCTGGAAGCTCATGCTGGATCTCTTCCACACCGTGAGAGTACATGGTGGACCTTCTACCTTGATTTCTTTCACCAACAAATTATCCTGGAAATTGCTCTGATCGGCAGGATGAACCCTTGACATCTTTCTTCTTTTTCTAATCCTTCAGATGTGGATGATGATGAAAACTAAGAAGGAAAAATGAGAGAGGAAATGGTTGGTGGATTATGTATGTTTTTTCTTGGATGCTCTTGGACTTAAATTCCAAGGTGACTTTGTTTTTATAGTTGGAATTTTGGTCACTGTGGAGGGAAATCAATTATTAATTTAATTACAAGGAGAAGGAGCAGCCTGGAAAGAGAGACCACTACCTCGGGTCTTTGTCTACTCTATTGGGTTACACATCTTCTACCGTAGGTCCCAGTAGCTTTATGCAGCCATCAGTGACTTTGGTTTTCTCATCTTGGTTTTCACTAAAAAATAAAGCCCTTATGAGCATTTGATTTCTTTTTCTTTTTCTTTTCCTTTTTCCTTTTAGTATTTGATTTGATAATATGATTAACAAAATCAAGTGAGAAATCAAATTTTAAATTAATATAATCATAAGTTGTGATTATCATTCTACAGATATCATCTTTCATATTTTGTTCATTATCACCATCATTTTTATAGTACTTTTTAAGAAAATGAGAAGCATTAACAACATTTTTTTTAACACCTCACTAACGGCTCCCTTTAATGCCCGTAGACACTAATTAAATTAAGAGTTTGTTTAACTAATATCTTAAGAGCATATATTAAAAAAATATTAATTATATTTTTTAATTAATTTATATAGAAAAACTAACTACTTAATTAGTTAAGTAATAATATCTTTTTATTAGAAATAAGAGATCTTGAATTCGAATGGTATGACATGCGAGTGTGGTGGGATAAGAGTTGAGATAAAAAATGAAAGATAGTTACCTTTTATTGTGTAATCAAGATAAAAAAAATTATATAAAAAATAAAAATTAATTTTAAATTTATTAACTATTCAATTAAAATTATCTAAGTGATATTGATATTACAAATAATATTTTACTTTTATATTTTTTTATAAAATTTATTATAAAATAATATATTTAATGCATTTAATGTACTTTAACATATGCTCTTAGATAAATCTTTAAATTAATCACACACTGGCTCTGCGTTCGATAGAATTAGAGGAGAACCTTCTTTATCTAAAGCAAAACTGTTTGTGTCTTGGAATTAGACAAAGCATTATTCTTCATTTACCCACCAATTCATAGACATCCATCCTTAACATCCATGTGAATACAAGCATGAAATGGGGCCTAAGTGTTGCATCCTCTTCACGTTCTCTATAGGGCATTATCACAACATTAAGAGCAGCACACAACCTGATTCCCAACATTTCCAACTTTATTTTGCAAAAAAACAACACAAAATTCGTCTGGATAGTGAAATTTGGCTTCAAGATTTTCTTCTTTTTCAGTGAAAACTCATAAACTAGCATGTGGGCTTTAGTTGGAATTTGAAACAAATGTGTTCCCTTTCTTGTTGTCTTTGCTTTTATGTCTTTATTATTCATTCAGAGAATTGAATCAGATTTTACCAGTCAAAACGCCTTTATTTGTCATGAGAATTCTTTTCTTTTGTGAATGATTTTAGTTTTTAACGCTTTTTGCAGGCCAATAGAAACTCGTTTTGATATTAGGTTCATTCAACTGACGATATAGCTGATGCAATATCAGTATTCCTTTTTTCTTTTTCTTTTTTTTGTCTATCAAATAATTTGACGTTTAATTGCACTTTTTTTTTTTAGTTGTTAACACTTTATTTGAAATGATGACATATATTTAATAAATATATGCCTATCACAATTGTTGGTTACTAAAATTTTTTGTTTACCTATCTTAATCCATTTTTAGAATATTGATTAATATATTTTTTTAGTTTAACACATTGTACAACATAGTTATAAAAAAATTATTTTTTTTAATTTAAAACTAAAAATAAACAAACTTAAAGATGTAGTTATGCATATAATATATAAAAATTGACTAAATCAGTTATATTTATATTATGTTTTAATAGTTAAATTAGATGAATACCAAAAAATACGTTGAACTAGAAGTTGTACCAATCATTTTCCTTCATTTTATAACCTTAAAACACATTTTAATACTTAAAGGATAAACTAATGACCTAAATAATTTAGTAATAATCATTTTTAGTGAAATAAAGACATTATGTGTTGAAATCATGTGGTAAACGAAGTGGGATGGATTCAAGGATGGAAGAGGCTTATCTTCAATTATGAAACCCAACATAAAAAAAAAAAAAAGAAAAAAAAAAAGAAAGGTGGTATTGGAGTAGAAAACTTTTAACTTTGTTAAAGATGTAGAATTTAAAAACTGGCTAAAACCATTTCTTTTTAGTGTGACAATTAGAACAAAACGGAAAAAGTAACTATTTAGCTCAACTTATTGAAAAAGAACATTAGTTCATCTACCTTTTGATTTAACATATTATATAATATATTTATTAAAAAATTATTATTATTTATTTAAAATTAAAAATCAACAAATGTAAAAATATAACTATATATAATATATGAGAAATAACTCAATTAATTGTATTTATATTATATTTTAATAATTGAATTAGATAAATATCAAAAAATCTATTGAATTGAATAATGTACTAATTATTTTTCTTTAAAAAAATTTAGTTGTAAGTGCTAAAATTCACTAAAATTCCTGACGAGGAACTAGACATTATGCACAAAAGTGTGGTCTGATTAAAAAAAAAAAAAGTTGCTAATTTTTCCTTTCTTTTCTTTTTGATGAATAAAAAATGTTGCTAATTAAAGATAGCATATAAAATACTTACTTTAATAAACGCCATTAAGTCAAATTTATAGTAGTGAACTTGATTATAAACATGGATAATGAGGGCGGCGTATTAATGAATAAATTTAGGTTGTTGATGGTTCCGAGGTATGAAAAAAGAGGATATGGGGTGCTATTAGAACCGCGAGGGTGGATGAATATACGTAGTTCCAAACATTAACAACTATATAATCTAGCGCTAGTGCCTTAGTGGTACCATTTTGAAGAAAAATATTAATTATATAGTTAATTAATGTGCAACTTTGTTTAGTGCTCCGTGTTCGAGTCACTAAACCACTAATTAATCCCTCTAATTTGAATGTGACATTATCATTTTTTCTGCATGAAAACAAAACCCATTTCTCATCTGATGTCATTGTCTTTTGGGTATAAACCAAGTGAAAGGAAAAGGGATGATTTCTCAATGGGAAGCTGCCATTGAATAATCCACTCTTAAAGAATAAAATTTCACAAAGAAGGACAGAGCAGGTTGCAAAGCATGCATACATTGATGTAATCCAAAGTTTGAAGTTCAAGAATTTGGCTTTTTTACTCATAAAAACAAACGAAGCCCTTAAATTTCGTTGGTGTTGAGATCGAAAAAACAGTATATAAATTCCTAAAAGATTGATGTATCTAAGAAGAAAAATGAATCCCTATTAAAATTCCCAAGACCTTCATTAAATGTCTTTTAAGATGTTCTTTAAATTAAGTAGACTCAAAAGAAGTATTACATAAATAGAAGTTTCATATTCAAACGGTTAGAAAGTTCCGCAAGAGAGGGACAACCTAGATTTTAGAGAAATCGTTGGTGGTACATTCTTCTTCTTCTTCTTTTTCAGTGTATATATATATAGTACATATTGAAAAAATGATTGAGTTGTTTTAGATCTGATAAAATTGGATCCAATTTGAAAATCTAATCCAACTTATCCGTTATGGGTCAGGTCATGAGTTAAGTCATGGATCTTATGTGTTAATCTGAAATCTGAAATGATTCGAATTGAAATTATATAAATGCAAATGGGTTGGATCATGAGTGGGTTGAGTCATCCAAAATTACCTAAACTTTTTTTTATTTATTTTTTATTAGATTACTTAAAAATTAATTTTTAATTTTTAATTTCCTAATCCTAAAAGTAGAAATAAATAAAATATCCAAACCATATCCTCTTGTTAGTCTCACTTTCTCTCAACTTTTCCTCTTCTCCACTCTCGTCCTCCCCTTCTTCATCTCAAGCTCTTTAATCCTTTTCTTTGATGGCACTTGCGTCAAAAATCAAATTAGGTGGCACATAATGAGCTGTATCATATGGTATCGTCAAAAAATTCTTTTAAAAAAAAAAGAAGAAGCAAGAATGCATATTTAAAATCAAACCCAATGATTGAAGTAGCCTTATCATCTTAATTAGAAGTACAAAGATAAGATCATCAAGAACATCAAGGTTTATTCTTAATTGTTAATTTGTTCTTAATTAATAATTTGTTCCTAGTTAATAAAAATCAATCACGATCCAATTTCTTCTTGTATTTGTTTAGACATATTTTGAATTTGTCTTTTGAACTTAAATATTGAATATGGCTATATTTTTGTATAATGCCCTTCCAAATATTGAACAAAACTGTATTTTTTATATAGTATTTTTATAAATATTGAATAGATACTAGATATTAACATATATATTGGATTTGTCTCTTGAACTTTAATCTTTCATGTCTCTTCTTTTAATGAATGTTAGTGCTTTTATGAAATTATGAATTCTAAATATTGTATAGGTATTATATATTTAACTTATATTTTAATTCCACCTATATAATCGGTAATATTTCCACTTTCTTTTCTTGAGATTGAAACAAAAGTTGAATCATGAAAATTAGCATTTAATAACGTTTTCTAACTAAATAGTTAATTAGTATTAGACTTTGTTAAAGTGAAATAAAGAAAATTATAGAAAATTTTTAATTTTAATTTTAATTTTTTAAAAGTTGAGTCCAGCCGATCCAATCCGAAACTATTGTAAGTGGGTCATGAGCTTACCCCTTTAACCCGACACTCGAAATAACTCAATTTAAAAAACTCAAGATTTGTTTAAAAAAAATAGAGAAATTATAGAAAATTTTTAATTTTAATTTTAATTTTTTAAAAGTTGAGTCCAGCCGATCCAATCCGAAACTATTGTAAGTGGGTCATGAGCTTATTCCTTTAACCCGACACTCGAAATAACTCAATTTAAAAAATTTGAAATCTAAGATGATCCAATCTGAACCTACCCAATTCGACTTTGATTGCCAGGTTTAGTTATTTTTCTGATTGTAAATCCACTTAAAACGTCCTCTCCATGCTTACTTATA